GGGCGGATTGTTTTCTAGGGCAATTTTTGGGAGTCTATTCTCATCCATTCGTCTTACATGGTTGTACCACATCCTCTTGCGCTGCCTTCCCCATCTTACAATATCTTGAATTTTGCACTGCTCTTTAATGTTTGTATTTCTCACTCTGTCTCTTCTTGTTTTCCCCATTATTGTTCTTAGGGTTTTCATTTCGGCAACCCTTAGCATTTGTTTCGTTTTGTTGGTATCTTCGCGCACTTCTATGCCATATGTCATGATCGGTCGTATGCAAGTCTTATAGATTCTAATTTTACTATCTGTGCGCATATACGGATTTGACCAGACTATCTCCCGCAGACATCCTGACAGTGCAGATGCTTTGTTGATCTGACTCCTCAGGTCCTTTACTGGGTCGTGGGTGCTTGATATATCTATGCCCAGATATCTGAATTGCATCACCTGTTCTATGGGGTTGTCCTCAACCACTAACTTACATCTGAGCGGATCTTTTGCTATTGTCATACATTTAGTTTTGTTGGTAGAGATGTTCATATTTAGTAGTCGGCTTGTTTGAAAGAACTGAAAGAGCTGCCTTTGGAGATCATCTTCTGATTCAACAATAATTGCTGCATCGTCTGCGTAACACACCATACCAATTCTTTTGTTGCCCATTCTATATCCGAGATTAAGAGATGTTACTTTGTTGATAATTTTGCCCATAAGAAGATTAAACAAGAAGGGGCTTAAACTGTCGCCTTGTCTAATTCCTCCCGGTGTTGGAATATTTTCAGTGAATTCGTCTCCTGCTCTAACTTTGGTTACTTTGTTGCTATTTAGGTTATGGAGTATCTTTGTTATACTGGTCGGTGTTTCATTTTCTATTAATATATTTAGAATGTCTCCCAGGCGAACTCTGTCAAATGCCTTCGTCAAATCAATGAAGCAAATATACGCTGGCATGCCGAACTCTATAGCTTTTTCTTTTATTTGTTTTATTATAAATACTGCGTCTGTTATAGACCGCCCTTTTGTAAAACCTTGTTGTTCTTCAGCATTAGTGATTTGTCCGCCTGGGTTGTCAGGTGGGTGGATTGAGTAGCTCATCGGAATACACTGCCGGTCCCAAGCCCGGATAAAGGGGGAGGGTCCCCATGGCAAGGCTAGCCACCTACCTGGGGTAAAGAAACCCATATTGGCTCACAGAACTGAAGATTCAGCCTCAGATTCATATTTAATTCTTTGGCATTAATATTTTAGTCGATTGTTTTATATATTTAATTATCAGAGTCATAGTCTTTGTTCTTGAATTTTTTTTTGAGATTCTAGTCATTTCCCTAATCAAGTCGTTTCTGATCCTGTCCCTTCTAGTCTTACCCAACATCCACCGTAACATTTTCATTTAGCTACCTCCATATTCTTTTCATGGATTATCTTTACATGCCACATTTCACCTCCGTACACCAACGCAGGTCTCACAATACTCTTGTATACCTTCTCTTCGAGCCTCTTCCTGATTTTTTGATCACAAATTACTCCGCTCGTTCGCTTCCAGTTAAGCCAACTAGCCTGTGTCCTGTGGGCAATTTCTGAATCTACTGTCCCATTTTTCGTTAAGTATGAGCCAAGTTATTTAAATTCTTCTACTCGACCTAGATTTTCTCCAAGCAATTTTATGTCTCAACAATTCCTCTTCCTCCCAATCACACCAGCTAACCTTATGTCCCTCCTCTTCAATAGTCGTTCTCTAGCACTCCAACTTTACCTTCAACAGTTTTGTGTTGTCCTCTACTAACACGATATTATCAGCAAAGAGCCTTGACCAAGGAGGCCCCTCCCTTACTTACGTATTCTGTATATAATTATGTATTACCAGTATTACTCCAATTATATAAATAAAAAACTTGTTTTAAAATATTGTTTTATTCCTTATCAGTACTTTTACTTATTAAATTTAAATTTAAATTATTATTTTACAAAAAATATTTACACTTGACTACACTCACATCTATTAATTTACAAATATAAATTAATATTTATCATTACTAGGTATTGGTGCAAAAAGGTTAACAATACCTGAACTAATATTTATGAAGAGTCCATAATATAAGAAACTAGGAATAAATTGAATCTTATTTTAAGAATTTTAAAGATTTTAGCTGTTGATTAATTCTTTCAACTTTAACTTTTGTTGAAGCAATTTCAGCAGTACAGAGAGCATTTTGTATTGATAATTGATTTCTTTTTCCTTAAAATAGTGGTTTTATAAATTCAATTTTCTTTTCAATGCATTTATTTTCTATCAAAAAGCTCTTATCTACAATTATAGCATCCTTATTTGGTGTCAATTTGTCAAATAATCTTGATTGAATAAAAATTTATTTGTCTGAGGTCACCATAAACAGAACTTACAAATGTAACTAAACCAGATAGTGCCATTCCAATCTTAAATTTTAATATGTGGTCCCCTTTATAGCGAGAATAAGTCATTACACGACACTTGAGACACTTGCTTTTTTGCAAAAGTAATTCTGTGCAGTCCAAAACAATTTTTACAAACAAAATGTCTTAAAACTAACAGGTATCCTATTTTAAATATCTTTTTTCCTGGTTAGGAGATTGCAGCTTTTAATACCGCAGAAAGAACTACCACTGTTATCTGAAAATAATTTCTACACGTGTTTGCCGAAACACCAAATATAACAGAAAGGCAAAAAAAAGTGAAGTCAGTTTTTAGCTTAGCAAACACTAGAGCAATATGTTATTTTAGCTGTAAACGATCAAATCGTACAAGGTAACTTTTTTGCCTTCACAGAATTTTACAGAATTTATTGTTACATAAAATGAATTTTCATCAAGTAACGGTCCAAGTGATCCCGCTGTAACTCTGGAATTATTCGGATGGTTTCTAAAGGTGCAATAACCGTTGAACTTGTGTTATTATCGATTTACATCTTCCGTAATTGTTGACGTTGTTGACTCTGAGTCAATCATTACATCTTTTAAAATATATACTGTACTAGATAAATGCCTTTGTTTTGCTCGTTTTGGAACCTTTTTTTATAAATCGTTTACCAGTCCTCACATCTAAAAAATAAAACGTTATTTGAATGATTAAGAAAGAACCAGGCTAAAACAATATGACATAAATAAATTTTCCGATTTCTTAAAGTGTCAGCTGCATACATTCATGATTTTTGTCACAGGTTTTGCAAAACGAAGAAGTTTTTTCGTAATTTCTCGTCGTTTGGAAAGTAGTGGAGAAGTATATCTTTCATACATTGAACAGAACATTGTGGCACCACAATATCGATTTCATGAATTTAATACCAGTTTTAAACTCTAATTTATTAAAATTTTTGACATTTATCCCTATTTTATTAGTTATCTATTTTGGCAGCAGTTGGCAGCATTGGTAATTGACTTTTTGGTTGATAAACCATTTTCTGTTTCCCCTGATTACAATCTCATGAAATATTTATTAACATAGCACGTTTTATTGAGCGCCATAGACGGGAAAAGGCTCTTGATAACTGGTCCTCATAGGACATCTAACTCTCACTTATAGCTCCAAGTGCCACACCCCGGACAACTGCATTGGTCTGCAGGCTAAACTAAGTGAGGGTAGTCACATATGGTTAAAATTTCACTGACCGATTGCCGGTATAACTAGGGTGACCATAATTTTTCAACAAAAAAAAAGTACATTAACAATTAAAAAAAAAAATGTATACTGCTAGTGCCCTAGAAAATTTTTCTGGTCACAATTTTACGAATCTTTAATGAAACAATGATAAGAACGATTTTTTTAGTCAAACATAAGTACAAAAAAAAGTATGATAAATTTTAATAGTTAATTTTCTTTCGACGTTCCGTTCTGAACATCTTGATTATCATTTTGGTACCAGTCGTACCTACTTTTTGGAACTATGAATTTCCTTCAGAACTTGTGGTTTACTCTATAAAAACTGAAACATTTCATTACACGAAACTTTGAAGTTTGTGTAGACTTGCATGATGGCTTCAAGAGTAGATATTTTCAATTGGTATTTGTTGGGACTCCAATAGTTATTGATATTTGAGAACAACCGCTCAATCGACGCACTGGTCCCGGCAGACAAAAAACAAACTCACATAAAATTTCGAGATTTTTCAAAGCCCTTTCTTTTTGAAGATTTCGAGCCATCGATCTTCGGTAGAAATATTCTTCGAATTCCAGTCTGTGACTTTATTTTCTGTAACGTAGGTTCGTATTAGACTAACTTCATCAAACAGTTCGTCCTGATTTAATATCGGACCTGCGTAGTCTTTGAAAGCCTCACACACCGATAAAATTTCAGCCCAAAAAAACTTGTTTTTTTCAAGTTAACTCATCCAAATAGCTTTAGTTTACTTAAATTTTCACTCCAGTTTTTCAAATATGTTACACAATTTGAATAGAACTGCTTGACATGCGTGATAAAGATATCCCGATAGTTCACACTAAGGTCAAGGTCTTTTCAAGGAACTCTCTTCCTTTAAGCGGCAAAAATAACTTATTTAAGCGATTTTGAAGCTTATTTATAAGTTTGAATGACTCTAAAGCGGCTTCCGTTGTACATATTTTGTCACCTTCTACATCTAAAATCACTTTGTGGAAGAGAGACGCAATGTTATGCACAAACCACATCCATGCTTTACTGTTTAGGTTTTGAAAAAACTGTTTTAGAACTGTTGGACAATTATCAATCGACAAAAAATATGCTTTTAAGGGTTCGAACATTTGTATAATTGGTTCAATGGCTGGCATTAGGCTCAAAAATCTTGGTTTTGAAAACGACAACATTTTTTGTACTTGATATCAACAAATTCGCAAAGCTGTTTTAATTTATCCACTCTGACTGTAAAAATATAGTAATAGTTAAAAATCTTGACCGCAATAACCTCGATGTCTATGGGTAAGACGACCGTCGCATTTTGTTAACAGTTATTAAAAATGTGTGCCACACAACCAATTCCAATCACGGGTTTACCACGAGAAGCATTTAATTTGCTGAATAGATTTCAATGAATTTTTGTAGTAAATTATGGTGGTTCAAAACATTAACCACGTAATCTTTTAATAAGTGGTCTGATATTTCACCAGGTAAGTCACGTAGCTGAAGTAATTTTACTTGGACACCATTTTCTCCATCAAAATATCTTACCATTAAGAGTACAACTTTAATTTCTCTATGATTCGACGAATCAATTGTGATGCTCACGAAATTTGCTTTTCGAAGGTCAATTTCTAATTGGGATTGAGCCCCTTCAGCTAAAACAATTTTTACGATCGCCTCAGTCTTGGTTCGAGCTGCCGCAAATTTAGGTTCAAACATGCTTACAATTAGTTTTGACGTGCAGTCTAAGGATTTGAAACTTTGCAAATGCTTAATTTTATGGTAAGCAACATATTTTCAGACCTTAAATTTTCTTTTTTAACAAAGGTTTCCGATTTGCTGCTCTTCGAGTTCGCATTAGTAGCCAACATGTGTTTTTTCTGTGACAAATGTTGTTTGATATTACTGTGACCACTGCTAGAAATATCAACATCACTTTTAGAATCTTGGCAAAACACAATTTGCGGTGAAACATTTGATTTTTGTTTCATAAAAGGATACTCTGCTTGCAACTCAACGTTAAAATGGCATTTTCTTCTAGGCGGCGACATGATGAAATTGTTTATTTTTCCACACAGCACAAAATAATATAAAAAACGAGAAAAAGTGTCGGAATTTAAAACAAAAGGTTAATAGACTAATCAACAGTGAGTGCATCAATTCGAATCATAATTATATTTTGTTTGGACAAAAAGTAGGACTTAATTTTGTGTAATTAAGAAAAAGAGTACATTTAGGTGTACTTCATAAATTTTAAAGTACAATAGGACAGCGTTTGAAAAGAAAGTACTGTCCTACTAAAAAAAGTACATATGGTCACCCTAGGTATAACCAATCCCACACTTGCTAATAAACGGCTTTGGGCGGAAGAATTGGTAGGTGGTAGGCCACCCTTTTCTTTCTAGGGTTGAGAAATCGGTCTCGAAAGTGGAGGAAGCAATGTCTTGTTCAACGGCATAAGAATGTAGAAGGCAAAGGGAAACCACTACATCAAAGATTCCCATAGATATCCCTAGTACAATCATCATGATTTTAGAATCTAATAACGGCGTTACTGGTCATGGCCCTCGGAAGCCAAGACCCGGCAGGGGAGAAGAAGACAAAGACTCTGAGGTCGGTAATCAGCGAATTCCTTGTCAAACGAACGTAGATGATAAAATAAGACTGTCCAACACTAGAATAGGAACCTGGAATGTTCAGAGCATGTTTCAGTCTCGTAAAATTCACAATGTTTTTCAAGAAATGAACAAGTTGAATATCGTTGTACTGGGTATAAGTGAAGCCAGGTGGCACATGTCAGGTTGTTTTTCAACAGACGAAGCCACAATATATTATTCCGGTAGCGAGAATAACCAACACAGACACGGCGTGGCAGTAATAATTAATAAAAAATCTAATGGAGCGGTGAAATGCTATTTCCCTATTTCGGTAAGGGTAATGGTACTGAAGTTAGTGACATCTTTTGCTAAACGGAATTTGATACAAATTTATGCTCCTACAGCTAATGCCGATGAAGAAGAAGTGGAATTATTTTACCGAGATATCGAAGAGGCACTTAGAATAACGAAAACAAGAGAAATCGCGATAGTCCTAGGTGATCTCAATACAAAGATTGGAAAGGGACAAAGCGGAAAGTGTATAGGAAAATATGGTCTGGGAAATCGAAACAAGAGAGGAGACCGTCTGTTTCAATTTTGTCAAGAGCAGAACTTGATTATTACAAATAAATTTTTCAAGTTACAAAACAGACCACTGAGAAAGTAGTCAGGAACTAGATAGACTACATTATGATCAATGAAAGATACCGTAATACTGTTAAAGCCGTGAAAGCATATCCTGGATTAGACGTAGCCTCAGATCACACTCGCCCTTAAAAATATTAAAAGACAAGAATCCCTACAATAGACACAAGAAAACTTAAAGAACCTAAAGTAAAAGAATGCCTTCAACATGAACTGTATGTAAACTGGAGCAAATTGAACACAGACACCAAGTATATTAACGAGTACTGGAATCGACTAAAACATTGTCTACTGGAACCCTGTAAAGAAATACTAAAGATTTCCGGAAGGAGAATAAATACAGAGAGCTAAATCACGAGATCAGGAAGATGATAAAGCAGGCAAAAGAAAAATACTTTGAAGAGAAATGCAAAGAGATCGAAGACCTTCAAAATAAATATGATCTGTTTAACCTGCACAAGAAAGTTAAAGAGCTGGCAGGGCTAAGAAAGCAAAATCCCACTCGTGAAATTCTGGATAGACACGGGATTACTATAACACATATGGACGATAAAATACAAAGATGGGCAGAATATATTGACGAACTGTTCGATGATGAAAGTCATTCATAACCGGATATATCACAAACTGGACATGGACGTTAATGATATACAATTTGGTTTTTGCAAAGGCCTAGGAACGCGTGAAGCTCTTTTTTCACTTAATATACTGATACAAAGATGCCTGGACGTCAATAAAGATATATACGCATGTTTTATTGACTATAACAAAGCATTCGATAAAATACGACATGAATAATTAATGAATGTCCTGAAATCAAAGCATATTGACTACAACGACCTCAGAATCATAGAAAATTTATACTATAAACAGCGAGCAAAAGTACGTGTTAACGAACAGCTGTCAGATGAAATTGAAATTAAATGTGGAGTGAGACAGGGATGCGTGTTTGTCGCCAATTCTTTTTAATGCCTAGTCAGAAGAGATCCCGAAAAACGCTTTTTAGATGAAACGAGGGTGAAACAGCTGGAATAAAAGTAAATGGAGTGGAATACAGGAAAAGTAGTAGTAGTAGTAAATGATACGATTTCTTAATTTCTAGGTATTTACTTTTCATATTCATGTTTTTTAATCTTACATTACACTTATCTTTTCTTATAAAAAATCTATTAAGTGGTTATTAATTCTGAACAAAAAATCTTGACACTAACTGTAAAAAAATAATTTTAATAAAATTGTTAGTTTTTCAATGATGCATATACACTACAATTTTTTTACGTCATTCCAATCATTTGAAACTTTTAAGATTGTCCAATTAAGTAATTTGTAAAAATAAATTTATTTCCTGTTTAAAACATTTGGTATTTAATGATTTAACGTGAATGGCATTGTTAATGTTTAAATTGTATTAATAATTATACTACGGCATTAAAACTGATATAAAAGATAAATACTTACGAAAACATCTGGCTAATAATTACTTCCCGATAATGTAGGTACATTTGTAATGTATTTATTACTATTTCATTGCAGTATTATGTTTCCCATAAAAATTATTTCCGAGTTAATGGATACAACTATTCATCAAAGCGTTAATTCAATGAATTCATCATTATACAAAAATAAGTGAACAAAACACTTACAATCTATGACTTCAATTAATTATATTTATTACTAATGTAAATAAAAAAGACACAAAACCCATTAATGACACAAAATAATTTGACAATAATTGGCATTTGATCAAAATTGAATTTATAAATAAAACTGCAAATATCCTCTTGATTAAAAAAGCAATAATTAAACTTATGATTGTTTTGTGGAAATAAATAAAATACTAATACTCCAGTCTTCAGAGACGAAAATGCCACTGAACCTATAAAAATTATACGAACAAGCCAAATTTGATTGAGAATGTCAATTTTGGGACACAAAAAATATGCAAAAAAGTTTGCCACTCATATCCCCGAGGTTCACAATAGAAAAACCCTTTTTCGCAAGGGGAAAACAAAAAATATCGATTTACGAAGAATCTGTATGCAGCGTTGTAGAAAAAAAAATTTCAAACAAGAAATAGAGCTAGATAATTTTGAACAAAAATGTTATTCAGCATTTTTTCCATGCTGTCGACGATAAAATTTTAATATCTTTTATTCAAAATCATCGGCAAATTTCGGAATGCGTTTTAAAGGTAAAGAGGGCAGCTTTTGTATGCAATTCTTGCATTTGTCGCAAACGAAATCTACGATTTCCATTGTTAGAGCCTAATCTTCAATTAAAACGGACTAGGAACCAGAGAAGCGTTATTTGAAAATCCACAAGGAAAAAATCGACAACTTTCAACCTTTACATCGACAACTTTTTTCATAGTTCACACTTCACAATACTGCCCTACATTATCTGCCTTATTTTCCTATACAAACGTCAACACCTTAATCCTACAGAATTTTGTGTTTCTTTAAACACCCATTCTCTACAATATCGCCACACCTTCCTCTCACAAATTTTCGACCCTAATGTTAACTTCAGAACCATCCATATCTATCATACCAACATATCACCATCTTATCCACTCTTCACTTCTACATCACATTCCTGTCAATTCTTTTCTCTTTCATTATTTCTTGGTCAATTCATATATCAAACATGTATCCAATAGTTTTAACTTAGTAATCATTCAAACATTATCTAACAATTTATCAAAATTCATAATCTACCATATTACAAAGAATCCTTATCTACCATTGTCCACCTTTTCTCGGTCAACAACTTAGTAGCACACTTATACAACAAATTTCAGGTTTCTACAAGCTGAATTTAATACCACCAAAATAGATTTTGTTCAGGGTGCTAGATACTTTAAGTATAAAGGACCCCTATTATCTCTAATTGTTGATTAACTCCTTTTCTCCTTTAACCGCCCCCCCTCCTTTTCTTCAGTCATTTCCTTTACTTTTATTCTCATTAAGTCTTTGAGGAACCCAGCCTCTTCAATTTTAAATTCAATCACATAGGTTATTACTTTAATTTCTTTAGCCTGTAGATTTCCATTTTACTAAACTTAATTTTATTATTTTTTTTTCTCCATATGAACAGTCTTAAATAAAGTCATTTAAATATGAGGTCTGATATTAGCTTCAAATATTTGTTATTTAATTTTTACCTTGTCCTAGATGTGATAAACATAAAAGGATAATTTTCATATATATATATAAGCTAATCTAACATAAAATAAACTTCTAGACAACATTCCATATGACAAAAAGCAACATAAGTTGCCTAAGACACAGGTCATTCTATTAATCATGACTATAAAACCATCATTGATTTCACATCTTTTATACCTTAAATTAATAAATAAAAAAGTTTTTTAAATCCCAACACCTAGATTACTGTTATTTTTTAAAATCATCAAAACTTGTTGAATCTTTTGGATGTAGTAATACTATGTACAACTAATATAGTTTTTTGTTGCAT